TTTTTTTTTTTTTTTTTTTTGAGTTAAAAAATCTTTACCTTTCCATCTGGGTTTCATATTCCCTAACTTTTTATTCTTAGGTTGTCATTTGTCTGCTGTTGCGGAAGACAGTACCGTTTATGCAATATGTTAAAGTAAGTTTTAAGGTTCATTTGTCTTCATATATTGAAGTGAGGTCCTTCCTTTTTTTAGTCTGAAGAATGCTTTGGCTTATTATGCATCAAAATTTGGATGCTTGTCACCAAATAACAATAATTCTTTTCAAATTTTCACATTTTTATACAGGTTGGCTTTTTTTTGCTTTTTTCCTTGTGACCAATTTCATCTGTCACACATATGTTGTAAAGTTTGAATAATTGTTTTGTTGCCCTACAACAATTATTCTTGTCAAATTTCGCTTTTTTATGCATCTTAATTTATTTTTGTATGAATTTTAGCTGTCTGTTTAGATCTCAGTGATCAATACTTACTGTTACAACTGATGCTTTACTCACAGAATGGAGCCATAGTGTCCTTGAGTAGCCTTTTGAATTTCCTCCCCATATAATATTTAACTGATGTGTTGTTCTTGTTCTTGTTCTGCCATCCAGAGTCATCAAGAAATTGTGAAGCAGCTTGTTGACCTTATTGGTATAACATCCATCATGGAGGTTAGTGTTTGTTAACTTTGTTGCTTTTGATATGTGAACTTCCCTGTGTTTAATTTAATGTATGTTTCCATCTTCAGTGTGCTAATTTGCTTGCATATTTGGTTTGTTTATAATTTTCTAGGACTTCCAATTTGTCTGTTATATTCACTTATGTTTAGAGTTAAGTTCCCTAATATTTTTGATGTTGTACAACTGCAACATGAAACTGTAATCCAGTTAGTTCCACTATACTGTCAAACTTTTGTTCTTGATTGATAAACACAATGAAACAGGTTAGCACATAACAATTTCCTTGTTTAGCAGGTTTTAATACGTCTAATTGGCGCTGATGAACATATGTTTTCAAGCCATACAGAGTCAATGCAGTGGATGGAGGATATAGATGTACTGGACATGGTTGTTGACAAGTTTAGCTCTTCGGTAAGTGCAACTGATAGTTTAAATAATACTAAATCTCAAATTTTTTGCATTGGAGTGATACGGTTCAAGTAATCTTCTTCTCAACAAAATTTTTCTAGGTAGATTTTGACTTTAATAGATTTTAATCTAATGAGTAATGAATCTTTGTTTTGAAGTGTGAGGCAGTATTAAGTGATATTTATTTGAAATGGTTTTCACAGGATTCTCCTGAGGTGCATGCTAATGCAGCTGAAATACTTTGTGCAATAACACGCTTTGCTCCTCCTGATCTTGCTTCCAAGATCTCCAGCCCCAAGTAGCTCCTTTCTCTTCTCATTTTGCTAAAAAAGATGCTTAAGGTTTATGGTTTCCCAGCTATATTAAATAATTACTCTTTACTTTGGCATGTTTTCGTGCAGTTTTGTTGGGAGATTGTTCCGTCATGCTTTGGAAGATTCACGGCCAAAATCTGTTCTGGTCAATTCATTGTGTGTGTGTGTATCATTGTTAGATCCTAAGAGGCTAACACTTGGAACATATAATATGTATAATCGGCAGCTAACTCAGGGATCCACAATAGCTGCTAACCCTGAGACAGTTGAAGGAATGCTGGAAAGCCTAGGTGCGCTTACTTGATACTGTCACTGAAAATTCTCTTCTGTCCCTTCCCTTGCTTCACCAAAAATGAGGGAAAAAGAGCTCATGACATTGAAGAGTGACTTGTTACTTTTTCCAGTTTATACCCTCATATTACTTGTGAATCTTTTCAAATTGTTTGATTCTTTATCTGCTTCTAGTTTTTTGTGTCATACTAATTTATCCTCATATTTGTGATGTCCAGGTGAATTGCTGAAGCTTTTGAATGTTTCATCAGTGGAGGCTTCCTTACCAACTACATATGGGAAACTGCAACCACCCCTTGGAAAACACCGTCTTAAGGTATTTCTTTGAGTCTTCATGTGTTAGGATTGTTTTCTTCTTCTTCTTCTTCTCTCTCTCTCTTCCCTTTTTTTTTTTTTTTTTTTTTTCTGTTATTACCTGGTTTGAATCAGATATTACTGATGTTTGGACATTTAAAGATATATACCATTTTTTATGGGAATATGTATGCCATTGTTTCATTTGGTAAATTATGCAATGTCCAGTTTGGATCAGTGGTTGTGCATTTCATAGAAAGCCAGTCACCAGTATTTGCTGCCTTTTCCTGATTATAATCTTAGATTCTGTTTTCCAGATTGTAGAGTTTATTTCTGTCTTACTGACAGTTGGTAGTGACGCTGCTGAAAAGGCATTAATCCAACTGGGAGCAGTGCAGAGGATATTGGACTTGTTCTTTGAGTAAGTTTGGATTTTTTGCTATGACGTGATGGGTGATTAGATCCTAGTTCTTATTTTTTCAGTTAATTGTAAGTGCAGGTACCCATACAATAACTTTTTGCACCACCATGTAGAGAGTGTAGTATTGTCATGTTTAGAGAGCAAAAATGCGTTACTAGTTGAGCATCTTCTTCACGAGTGCAATCTTGTCGGAAGAATACTTGAAGCAGAAAAGAATTTCAATTTGACATCTGATCCAAGCAAGGTAGAGCTATCCAGTCATGCTGTAATTGACCATCACCTCTGGGCATTTTTTCCTTGTGATCCTTTTCACTTATGGTAATTTCTGGTTATTATGGTTTTATGCTTAATGGGTATGCAATTTTTCTTTACTCTTCTATCTTGCAGCCAACAGTTGCTGCTGAGGGTAGACCACCCCCCAAGATAGGAAATATTGGACACTTAACTTGCATATCAAACAAACTTGTTCAGCTGGGGAATAACAATGCTGAAATTCAGGCATTTTTGCAGGTTTAGTCCTTATTGCCTATTTAATTTGATTACATGGGTCAGTGTTTTATTGGGTGTTGTGACACTTCATGTAGCTTGAAGCATTTTTAAGTTGTATGCTTAAGAAAAATAGATGTGGATTGGATTAGTATAGTTTAGCACTATGTTGTGGGTTAAGTTACTCATGGGGACTTTCTTTTTATGTGTAAATTAGTAGCTGGGTTGTTTTCTGGACTGGATATGAATAATTTAGTCATGCTAAAATTTTTCATATTGTTATGGTGGTTGCTTTGTTAGTATTTTATTTTCTGTATTTTTATCTATATTTATATTGTCATTTGACAGGGGATTATGAGATGCAAAATGTTGCACTGAATTTATTTTCAAATAAACCAATTGAGTTCTTATGTTTTTTATTGGCAGGGAAACAATGAATGGACTGATTGGCATGCAAATGTCCTTTCAAAGCGTAATGTGATCGAAAATGTTTATCAGTGGTCTTGTGGGTAGGTCATCTTCATCTAACCGTTGCTCCATTCCTCCTCCAGTCAGGGTTAATTTGCTGTTGAACGCTCTAGTTAAATGGAAGGTTTTTTTAAGATAATGCTAAGAATTTGTTGTATGTGGTGGAAGTACCTAATCCACAGGGATTGCACAATTTCAAACAATAATGAATTTTTCTTCAGTTATTTCATAAAGGTTTCATCAATTTTAACAGGAGGCCAACCTCTCTGCAAGACCGGACCAGAGATAGTGATGATGATGATTACCAGGATAGAGATTATGATGTTGCAGCTTTAGCAAATAACTTAAGCCAGGCATTTCGATATGGCATTTACAGCAATGATGATATGAATGAGGTGCTGTATTACTTTTGATATAATTAGAAACTATTGAGATAAATATAATAAGACACTGGCAAACTACAGTCATGGTAAGGAAAATTATAAGTTAGGAATTGAAAAGTTAGAAAGAAAGATGGATGTGTGGGTTACTTCTTCTTAAGGATTCTGCCTGTTCTTTTGTCTTTACTTTCTATCAAGAATGAATACTCCATTTTAACTACCACTTTTTATACTTTGCCCTTAAGATCTGTTAAGAGGTGCCAATTAATTTCCTTCTATAAATGTGTATGGTTAGGATCTGATCTGAAAATGCACTTTTGTCTTGGGCCGTGGTGGCTTGGCATTATAAAAGAAATGTTCTTCCATGTCAAACTATCTTATCTCAAAGACTCCAACAATTGAGATGATTTATTTTGGTGTTATAAGGTCTCCTAAGTTTTTATTTGTCTTTTAGTATCATTCATCCATTCATCTCTGTCAAGATTATCCTTAGTTCTCAATTTTGGCTTTTATTTAATATTTTTTTCTCCTCTCATACTAATTAACTTTTGTGTATTGATTACTTGACATGATTCTAGGTACATGGGTCCCTTGAACGAGATGATGAGGTATGTTACATGCTTTATGATTTCAATTTCACATTTAAGGTCTAGAACTTTTATCTTTGACTGGCGTCTTATTTGGGCATCTTTCGATCTTGAGAAAAAGTTCAATATGGTTGTGTTTCCCAGGATGTTTACTTTGATGATGAATCTGCTGAGGTTGTTATATCTTCTCTGCGTCTAGGAGATGAACAAGAAAGGTAGTTGGAAACCTCCATTGAACTTCCTTTACTTTTATTGCCTGTTCCATGTTAGATTGTGAGGCAAAACTTTTTGCATTTTACTTTGTAGGGGATGTTATCTCCATTTCACTGTAAAAGAGTTCCTTGTTATTAGAGTCATAGATCCCACTATTTATAGGTCCAGAGAAAGGAACATGATGTGTCATAAATGTTGCATGTAGTGCAGAGCATGAGGCCATGTGTGAAAGTAAATGTACCCTTTGTTTTTTTTATCAACCAAAAATGAAATCTAAATCAGAAGGAGTATGGTACTCCAATCAATTTTACATCGAAGTCCAGCTTCATGTAAAAAATGAACAATAACAGCACAAGCTAAGCCTAAAGGCAAAACCTTGTGGAGGTAAATGTAGCATTTGTCAGGCATAATCCCATAGATACCAAGATGAAAGAGATTTTTGAATATTTCTAAAAGGCTAAAGTGAATACACTGGAAAGCTGCTGGATTAGATTGCTTGTTAAAAGATCAGGTTCAATAAGGTCATAGTCATTTGTTTAAGCCTTTTTTTTTTTTTTCTCATTTCTAACTTTTTTTGTGGCTGCTGGAGCATAGGCTTTGAAATAACTAGTAAGAAGGATTAGAATATTGTTGTCAGTGACATAATATTTTTAAAGAATTGAATTGCTTGAGCTGATTGTGTTGCATCTCCTTTGATTATCTGTAGTGGCTCTCTTTTCACAAATTCCAACTGGTTTGCTTTTGAGGATGAGAAGTTTGCCGATGAGCGCTCAACTGGTGCCGTAGCTTCTCCATCACCTCAGACTGAGGGGGCTGGTGTTTTAGACAGTGAGGTTGAAGATGAGGTAATTGTTGGTGACACTACAACATCTTCATCAGCGGCAGAGGCAAGATTAGGAGATGCCACCCTTAACTCATCTGAAAACTCTACAGAAAATGAACAGAGTGCAACAGATAAACCACCTGTGTGGGTTGAATGGAGAGAGAACCCGGATTCCAGTGACACATGTGATAAAGATGACGCTGTTAGTATACCAAATGGTGAAGTTGAAGAGAAACTGGATGACAAAGGTGGTGATCACGATGGAGATGGTACTGGACCTTCTTCGTCATCTCAAGTGGCGTATGAAACCCCTGGTTCTGGTTCTTCGGAGCTGTCTGAGGCTGGTAATGATGGTGTAAGTTCAGATGAAGTTACCAAGAATCAGGAGGCAGCTTTAATAACAGAAAGTGCCCCAGAAGGTGCCGCCAAAGATGATTCCAAAGAAACAGCAATAGAAGAAGGGAACTAATGCATATTTGTCAACAATCTGTATGGTTGAGCTAACACATATTTGGCCGGACTGATCAGTTTGATGACATAAAACAGCTCGGTTTGTTGGGCTTCTGTATTCGTACGGCCTTTTCTGTATACGATTGTTAATGAGGTGGGGGCATTGTTGATTCTTTTCCCCATATGGAAAGTTTCTGTTTCGGTCTCATTGAGAGCAGGTTCTAAGTTGAGAACTTAGCGTAGCAAGTAATTCAACATTTAATCTAGTGTGTCTGCTATAGATGATTCCAGAAATGGAAGTCTTAGCACAAATAACCTGTTGATATGATAGAATTCTCTTCTTTCATGAATGTCAAGTATTGATCATAGAAATGAATTTATGTGATCAAAGTGTAGTTGTGTGTTCTGTTGAGTGCTGCTGGTATGGGTTTCCTCTTCCCTTTATCTGGTTTCCAATCTGCATGCCATGCAACAGAAAAAGAGATGAGATTACTTGACCTCCAAGGAAAAAAAAAAATCCCTATGATTAAAGTGGTAATCGAATGATTTGGAGTGGAAGGAATTAAAGGATTCAATAAATGAATGAAGAAAAATATGCATTTTGATTGAAAGAGATGGTAATCTAAACTAGTAAAATCTATCAACTGTGGTGCCGAAAAGTAAAATTAAAACAGAACTAGATTAGTTTAAACCCTTTTTTTAAAAAACAAATCTACTTTTTAATTATAAATTTATGTTGAAAAAAATAAAATTTAATATTTAATTTATTAATTATTTAATTAAATTTATTTGATAATAATATTAAAATTAATTTTAACCTTTTCAGTTTTTTAATACACATTTATGATGGTTACATGTTAGGAAATCTTAGTTTAACATAATGATTATAAAGCATCTAATAGTAAATGGGTTAATAATCATTTTTCTTTGAGAGAAAGGATTAGGATATGAAATTTTGGATTTTACATCCAAGCACTACAAATTTCCTAAGTTCAAAATAAAAATAAATAAATAATAATAATAATGAAGAGTTGGTGCAATATTAACTGAAGGCCTAATAATAGTTTAAATATAAATATAAACAATAAAAACTTATTCATGAAATGATAACATATGACAGTTGTATCAGAGTTATAAATACCTTATTTTTATCTTCATTGAAGGTAATATTCATTGAAAATAATATCTCCATTACACTATTACTCTATTTAGTTCTTGGAAACTTCTGTCTCTGGCACTACCCAAACAATGATGATCATAAAACATCTAATCTAAAACTAAAGGATAGCCAGCAGAAACTTATTGTCCTCTACTGATAATAACAATTTTTCTCTCTCTCTCTCTCTCAATTCTGAAATTAATCAGTGATGCAACAATTTTTCTTCAGTAAAAGGCATCCCATCCCATCCCATCCCATGCATTACTCTGCCTCGCTGAGATGGAATCGAAAACCAACAATTTTGTTCAAAACCAACCAAAAGAGGGAGAAGAATGGAAGACAGTTTACGCTGAGAACCAGAGCCCAAAGGGCCTCAAGACCAGAGGGCTCAGCCCAGACAGGCCCATAATTTATTTAGGATGGGCCGATGAAATGGGTTCATTTTCGTTTCGTCTTCCTCTAAATTCTGAATGAAATGAGCCCTTCCTAACCTTTCTTCCTTCTTCTGATTCTGACTCTGAAAATCTGAACTGAACCCCTTCGCTTCTTCAACCTCTAAAGTTCTGATTCCTCTATCTCTCACTCTCAAATCAAAGCTCCACACTTTTAACCTTCGCGGATCTGATTTTGCCTCAAAATGCTTGGTGGCTTGTACGGTGACCTTCCTCCTCCTTCTGATGACGACAAGCCCACCACCAACTCCACCGTCTGGTCCAGCAGCGCCAAAATGGCTCCACCTACCCTCCGCAAACCTTCCTCAGTCTTTGCGCCGCCCCAAACCATTCTCAAATCCCAAAACAAGCCTAAAAACCCCATTCCTAGAACTGCTCCCATCCCCTCCCCCTCCGTTACGCCTTCCCCTTCCGTCGTACCCCCTGCCGATGACCTCGCCCACCCTGCCTTGGTAGCCGTCACCTCGACCGTAATTGAAGAGTATGACCCCGCAAGGCCAAATGATTACGACGAGTACCGAAGGGAGAAGAAGAGAAAGGCGATGGAAGAGGAGATGAGGAGGGAACTGGAGAGAAGGCGGAGGGAGGAGGAGGACAAGGAGAGGGAAAGGGAAAGGGAAAGGGAAAGGGATAGAGAGAGGAAGGAGAGGGATCAAGCCGATTCTAGGTTGAATATATCTGGTGAGGAAGCCTGGAGAAAGCGTGCAGCAATGAGCGGGGCGGTGCCCAGGTCACCATCTCCTCCTGGGAATGTAGATGGATTTAGCATTGGAAAGTCGGATACAACTGGGTTAGGAGTTGGGGCCGGCGGCCAGATGACTGCGGCTCAGAGGATGATGGCAAAGATGGGATGGAAAGAGGGGCAGGGGCTGGGGAAGCAGGAGCAGGGGATCACAACTCCATTGATGGCCAAGAAGACGGATAGGAGAGCTGGCGTAATTGTCAATGCTAGTGAAACTAAGCCGGAGAAGAAGGTGAAGAGTGTGAATTTCAATGGACCGCCCACTCGTGTCCTGCTGCTTAGAAACATGGTATATCTTACCCTTTTGCTTCTTCTTTACATCTTTACTAGGTTTTAGCTGTCTTCTTTGCAATAGCAGATGACCGTGCTTTCTGTTGCCCATTCCCTATTTTTGGTCCTTTGTTGGATAGACTTTGGCTGTGTTTCAATGTAGATTTCCTAACTCTTTCCATTTTAGGTTTATGTGTAAGCAAGCTCTCAAGTAAATTGATTGGGTTTTTTCTATTCTGTAATTGATCCATTACTGCCATGACTTTAAGTTATCAATTAGTGTAAGGGTAAAAATCAGAGGATTTGATTCAATTCATGTGATTTTTTAAACCTTCGACCGCAAGGTTCCCTGCATGTTACCTTTTATTAGAATCCTACTTTGGCTGCACAGGGATGATGATGAACTGTTTCAGCTTGAAACAATCGACATTTCAGTCCATTAAGAATAATAAAGTCATAATAAAGTCTACCCTAAACCACATTTGGGTTAGGTGCAAAAAATTGGCTCAGATTAGCTATAGGTTCATGTTTGGATCTGGTTAGACTTGATAGATGTGGATATTATTGGCTGTGTCTGAGTTTCAAATCTGGTTTTATTTTAACACTTTCTGGACCATTGATGGTTTCAACCTCCTAAAAAAAAAACCCCCCTTGTTGCTTTCCCTCTCTTTTCTGAAAGAAAAACTTGATATATTCTATGAATCTAAAAGACTTGAGATTTATATTCTGTCTTAATCCCCAAGTCCCTTGTGTATTAATTGGAAAATGGAGGTTAGAATGCTAACACTTGTGCTTTCTTCTTTAAGGTGGGCCCTGGAGAGGTAGATGATGAACTAGAAGATGAGGTTGGGTCTGAATGTGCCAAGTATGGGACTGTCACTCGAGTTCTGATATTTGAGATAACAGAGCCAAATTTCCCAACTGATGAGGCAGTCAGAATTTTTGTGCAGTTTGAGAGATCTGAAGAAACAACAAAAGCATTTGTTGACCTTGATGGTCGATATTTTGGTGGCAGGATTGTGAAGGCATCATTCTATGATGAGGAGAAATTCAGTAAGAACGAGCTTGCTCCAATGCCTGGGGAAATTCCAGGTTTCACTTGATGGAATAAAAGATTCAAGTGCAGGTAAAAGCTTCTTCAATTAGATGGATTGATAATTGACAATGGACAGTTAGGCAGTGTTATAAGCAGCATCAAAGTCGGAGTCAGCTTTAATTTCTCTGGATCAAATATGCTTGTAATATTCTGTGAACAGAAATCAATTCGTGTTTTGTATGTTAATGACTGTGAGCTGATTTTCATGAGCTTAATAACAATCTTAACATCCATGGCATCTTTATACCAACTTGATTGATCTGGTTAAGAAGGTTTATATTCTCTTTGCTGTGTGTTTATGCAAGTAGTGATGCAACTGCTGCTGCTCGAGAATTGGAGGTCGCCCACTTCTTGTATATATATATGACAAAAAGCAATATTAGTATCTCTGCCATCTTCAACACGGCTTGGGTCCAAGACATATTCTTTCATCATCCATCCTGTCTTCTTGCCATCATCAATTTTATGGTTGAACGTCCTCTTCACTCCCCACATAGTGTTATCATGATCCTCAATATCTATTCTCTCACGCCTATTCCATTCAGAGTTTCCAGCGTTTGTTTTTGTAACCCTGTCGATATTCTTCTGCGATCCTTCTGTTTTCGG